AGGGGCAGTTGCGAGGATCCAATCGGGTTGGGGCACCGCAGCCACGGGCACCAGGGGACCCTGCAAAGGAGGGGGCTACACAGGTGGTTGCTCAGGGGGACCCAGCTGGGGCTGCCTGGGAAGAAGGGGCTCCACTGCCTTCCTTAGGAGCAAGCAGCAGAGCTGCCTTCCCACCCTAGGCATTTACCTGCCTGCATCCCCCCAACTCCCAGCTGCAGGCAGGGCTGAGGGGTCCTGCCCGGCCTGACACGGGCCCCAGTACCTGCTGTACCAGAACAGCTAGGCGCAGCCACGGTGGCAGGAGCAGGACGGGGTGCGCACGCAGAGCCAGCTACCTCCTTTCCGGGGCTGCCCTGCCACCCAGCTTTAACCCTGCATGCGACTACCAGCAGCCCGGCAGCCAACACTTTGCGGCCCAGTACCAGGCCACAGCCCAGTGGTTGGGAACCTCTGTTTTAGGGTACAGTTGATACACCTAGAAAATGTATTTCCTGTAAGTTTGATGTGCTCAGCCACTGAATTCAGAGGTGTTCTGGCCCTTGTCAGATACTGGATGATGAGAAACACTCTAGTCAGTACCCAGTGAAGCACCAAATTGTGCTGTTCATCTGGATTTTCATTAACCTGATAGAGTCTGGCCCGCAGGCAAGCTGTATTTACCCAATGATTCTCAGGTTCTGTTGGTTGTAAAAAAAAATGTAGCCTGGTGAAAGGAACCAAAATTATACAAGGTACCTGTTTCAGGCTAGCGATGTAACGGGTGATGTATTCCACAGTGACAGGATCCTCCACAGTAAGTCTATGGCTCTGACATTCCACACGAGCCCTATTAATAACTATTCTGGCATCAGCTGTGAGCCCTGCAATGATATTTCACTGTACAATCAGACATGCATTTCGTTACACAAAGAAAAGTCAGTCCCTGCCCCAAAGATCTCACAATGCAACTAAAAATGAAGGTGGGTGGGTCATAGAAGTGAGAAAGTATTTTCTTTGGGCTTGGTATGCAGGGATAGATTTGTTTACTCATTAAAAATTAAGATGTTAAAAAATTCAAAATTCTTTACTTCATACCTTTTAGATTTTTTTTTAAGCCTAAATGTCTACAGTATTAATCAGACTAGAAGTCTCAGCACCCCAAAGAAGAATAGAGAACAAAGTGTTCCAGTCCTCAGATAGATCCACTCTATTGCTTATGCAATATCTTTGCTAATTAAGAGCACAGGTGACAGACCCAGGTAAGTCTCGTCTAATCCTTATGCTTGCAGGTAACATTTGCTATTCTAGTCGTCAGAGTGTGTGTGTAAAATTAGAAACTATGCATATCAGTTTGCAAGAATGTCACATTTGACTAAATCTAAAGACTACTACTGTAGCCTGCTCAGATGGATTGTAAATTACTTCTAGTACGGCAGTGTTTAGTACACATTTTTAATCCCATTTGTCACTACTTCTGCTTGCTCTTCTGAAATCTTACAGCTTGAACAATGGGAGTTGGTTTCACTTTCGAGTTCTTTCTGCTACGAGGCTTGCTTACCAAGTTAACTTTTTCACTGGAATGAGAGACTCCATTTTTTGTTGCATGCAATTTTTAAAACCTTGAGCTTTCAAAATTTAGCTTTTGGGGAAGATTCAAACGGAACAGGTTCATTTAACCTCCCCAAACTCCCGCTACTACAGATTATCACCATTTTATCTAAGAAAAAGTCATTCTGATCTGTATTTCTATTCCTTCCTCACAGGAGTAATTCACCCCTCTTCCAAAAGTAAAATTAAAATACATTTCTATCCTCAGTGGATGTCACTAGTTCAAGACATTTTCTCATATTCGATTACCCCCAAAACAACCTTATGGAACCACAATTCTTACTACAAGGAAATAAGTAACCATCAGGGCATACCCTATATACATACTCCTCCCATTTCCCACCTGCAATTATCCAAAGAACTTTGCTTTCATAGTTCATAAACCTACCTAATACAGTAATGCTCCAATAACTACCTTGTTTAAACTTGTTCCTAGCCTGGCGACCAGCAGTTAACAGTCCAATTAGCCAACATCACATACCTGCAAAAGCCATGCAGACATTTTCATCAAGGGCACAGATCTTCCGCACAGTTCGTTCATCCTGAAGCTTTGCAACAGATTTCTTTTCCACACCAAGAACTACGATCTCTTTTCCTCTTACTCCAACCTTCAATGAATTCAAAACCCAAAGCAGTTACAACATTCCCAAGTCCAATAAGAATGTGGTTTTTTTTAAACAAACAAACAAAAAAAGTAATACTACAATGAGAAGCATCAAATAATTTGCCTCATCATTGTACTGGACATCAAGCTGAAAAATAACTGATGTAAGAGAACAAAAATTAGCCCATATAATGGGACAAGTCTGAATGGTTCTTTTTATACACCTGTTAGTCCTTCCAAGAAGGCATCTCTATACTTGGTTCTTAAAATCACTTTTGGAGCTTCAGTTACAACTATAACCAGGGTTTGAAATACAGGGGAGCTCAGGGGGCGCTGAGCCCCTCATAAGAGATGAGAGCACTCTTGTAAGATTTGAAAATCATAGCACGGGGGGTCTCCAATTCCATTAGGGCATCGTGATGGGCAGCCCAATTAGTTTTTGGAGACCCCCTCCCCAAGAGTCAGTGTAATTCGAACCCTGGCTGCAACTGATCAGCTGCTAAGTCCAATTAGACCTAGAGAGAAGTCATTAGGTATGTCAAGGCTCATCACAAGCTAAGACTGAATCACAGACTAAACAACAAAGCTTAAATTGAATGAGCCTCAAACAGATCTGCTCTATATTCCAACTCTTAAGTTATTCTGTGTGCTTCTACCTCTCCTTCGCCAGGAAGAGAAGGGACTGACACTGGGTTTCTTAAGACAAGAAGCGCCACACTGGGTCAGACCCGCGGTCCAGTCACCCCAGCAGTCTGTCTCCAACAGTGGCCAGGTAGACGCTTCACAGAGAGCGCACAAAACCAGGTTTCTCTAATGTGATCTGATCCATGCCCTATTCAGTACCCTCCCGGGCATCCCCCGTTATTGTACAGGGATGAGAGGGGAAACATCTCCAACCCTTCTGTTCACCAGCCACGAATGGATCCATCATCCATGAAGTGACCCACTCTTTTCTGAACCTGGTCACGCTCTTGGCTTCACCACCTCCCGCGGCAACAAACTGGTTCAAGTTTTCCACGACCAAACTGCTGGAGCGGGCTCCTTCCTGGCTGGGAGACGTAGCTAGTCCAAGTCAAGTGAGAAGATGGGGTAAGTCTGCACCTCACAGACTACCCCGAGTCTAGATCATGTATATAAAAAAATAAATAAATACAGACCCACATGCATCTCTATATCTATCTATGGAGCTGTATGTAAGTAGGTATGTCTGCATAGGGTGTGTGTATCAATACTCATACATTCCCATATCTACACACACACCCTATGCAGACATACCTCCTTACATGTAGATCTATAGATAGATACAGAGATGCATGTGAATGTGCATTTACTTTATATATCTGCAGATCTCTATGTAAGTAGGTAAGTCAGCATGATGTGTATGTGTGTGTGTGTAAGCACGTCTGTCTATATGCATGTATGAGTATTGATACACACACCCTATGCAGACATACCTACTTACATATAGCTCTATAAATACATATAGAGATGCATGTGGGTCTGTATTCGTCTTGTATACACCTCCATCTCTCTACGTGCATGTAGGGAGGTATTTGCACACGTGCGTGTAGGCAGGTATTTGCACGTATGCCTTTGCTGCATGACCTCGCACCACGCGGGTGTGTATACGTGCGTGCGTGCATTAGAGGACGGTATGTGCACGTATATGTGGAGAGAGAGAAAGAGCAAGAGGCCGGCGTGCACACATGTATGTAGGCAGGTGTGTCTGTATACTGAGTGCGTGTACGTGGCTGTGAGCGTACACATGTACACCCACACGCACGCCAGAGGGATCAGGACTTAGTTTTCATCACACCAACTCGATTTTTCAACAACAAAAAAAAGTGTCTATATTTTTGCACGCGTGTCGCGCAAGTGCAGGCGGCGCCCCCCGCGCTGCTCGGGCCCTCCCCCCGGCGGGTCCCGTGAGGCCAGGTCAGGTCAGGTCAGGTCAGGCCCGGCGGCGCTCTCACCGCGGTGGAGCCCTTCTTGACGGCCTCCTGCGCGTACTCGACCTGGAAGAGGTGCCCGTCGGGAGAGAAGACGGTGATGGCGCGGTCGTAGCTCATGGCGGCCCCGGCGCTGCCTCAAATCCGCACACTCACCGCCCGCCCCGCCCCTTCCGGCGGACGGCCCCGCCCCTTCCGGCGGCCCTTCCGCTGTCACGCGCCTGGCCTACGCCTTCTGCTTCCTGTGCGCCAACTTCGTAGGCGCTGCGTTTCCCCACCCCCCTTCATGTTCTACCTCACGCACTTGGCGTACGTACCTGTGTTTCCCCCCCCCTCCCCATTAACATAGGCGCCGGGTTTGTCAAGGTGGAAGATTTCCCCTCCGCTCTTGGCGTATACGCGTTCTTCGCCTACGCCACTGACGTAGTTATCAAGGTGAAGGTATCCCACGCACTTTGGGTAGGGGCAGGCATGATTTCCCTCCCCCCCCTCCG